AAAAATATATATATATATATATATATATATAGAGAGAGAGAGAGAGAGAGAGAGAGAGAGTATGTGAGAGAATGAACTTCCTGTTCATGTATATAGTTGAGATTCTTATCATAGGTCTGTGAGAGTTAAAGTAATGTTCCACCAAGAGGTCATTTGTCCAAGTGAAGCCTCCCAGAATACTCCAGAGGAAGAACTGATACACTAGACCTGGCTGGACTGGATCATCCCCTACTCACAGGGTGTTGCTCACCACTTCCTGGCAAAAGAATTGTGACATGATGTGTCACTCTGACTAGAAACCGAGTGGGATAAACAGCTCTGGGATGTCTGGAAGGTCTTAATCAGTGTCATAGGCATTTTTCCTAGGCGGGTACATGACTGCTGCCATGTTTAGGCTGGGAGTTGAGTAAGCAGGGATCTCTGCTGGACAAAGCCAGCCCTTTAGGGGCAGGAGAGCAGTTGTCATGTGGGGTATGTGAGCTGGGTAAATGAGAGTGTGTGATACTGGAACTATATGTTCTGTTACCTGGATTGTTTTCAAGTCCTTTGCTTCATTTTTCTTTTACTCTCCTTTAACTTTTACTAAAGTTTCTTGTGAGAATACCATATTGTACCTCATAAACATATACAATTATTATTTGTCAATTAAAAAAAATACCAGCTTGTAACAAGGGAGCCAGAGAAAGGAATCTTGATTTTGAACTCTGGAAGCTATCATGCAGAGTCTTGTTTCTGGAGGCCAGTCACGGTGACAGCTACGGGAACCAATCTATGGGAACCAACTGAGACAGCCCCAGTGGAAGGTGAGATCTATTTGGCCAAACCAAGGTGGAGAGTCCTTTCCTGGAACTCTTCATTTCAGACTTAAGGGGTTTCTGATTTATTTTAAAATAAGGAAGCTCATTTCTTTTCTTTACATAATGCCACTTGTTACTGTTTTTTTTTATCTCTAAAATTATTTAGTCCAACATCCTGTTTTTAGAATTTGGTATTTTCTGGATCAGTGTTGATCTAAGGTGTGAGTAAGTTTTATCAAATCCAAATGTGCAAGCAAAGTACATTATCTAAACCATATGCAGAAATATCACTTCTAAGAAAAATGCTCTCACACTTTTCAGTCATTCAGCTCATTATATATCATGGATAATTTTTATATGACATGGCATGTGGTTGGGAAACTTGATTGCCTCAGTTCAGAGTAATGCTCTGCTGTGTGCGCATGGGCAGGGAGACAGGCAGGTCCTCTCCAACGGCAAATGACAAAAAGGCCCATTTTTCACTAGTATATGGCAGCACTGGGTCTCAAATGACTGAAGACAGAGAAGGACCTCAAAGGGCCAGCTTATATCCTCAGTGTGGGAATTCTTTCTATTGAGTCCCTGAATACAGCCCCTCCCACTGGGGCAGCTCTCCCTACTCAACAGAGCTGCCTAAAGCCACCAAAAATAATTTCTATGTAACTTCCACTCATTGATCTAATTTCTAACCTTTTCATGTTACATTGCCAGTTAAATAAGCTATTTTCAACAAATAATTTTAAAGTTATATTTAACTTTAAATAACAGTCAGGCAACTTGTAGATTTTTATATTTTTATATTTTATAGAATTTTATTTTAGGTCAAAAATTTACTGTGGCCAGATTACTACAAAGATTAATTTTAAAAATTCTTTGCTCATGAGCGAGAGATGAAACTTTGATAATCATTTGGGATTTCACTAGCTTTTTTGCTCATTTCAACTGGCATTTGTAACAGATTTAAAACAACGCTGGGCTGGGGTTTTTATTTTTTAAATAATGAATCCTCAATTATACTAAAAATGCTCTTAAGTGTTTTCTTCACTATAAATTAGAGGGAAAGGATAAGAAGAAAAGGGGGCCAGTCCCCAAATACCCACTTTAGCCATGTGCTCATGCTTACCTTGGGTTGGATGGCCTCTTTTTGGCTCACCAGCTGAGACCTCAAGATGAGGACTTCCTCCTTGCGGACATCGAGCTCCTCACTCACAGAGGTCAGTTGCTCCATGAGGACACGGTAGGCAGGTGCGCCTGGAGCAGTCACCTCAGGGGCACTCTTCTCACTAAGGGCCTTGCGTAACTCATTTAGCTCATTTTTCAGTTTTTTGTTTTCTGATTCTAGTTCTTGACGCTGTATGAAGAGACAAAGAAAAGTTCACTGCTATCATCCTCAACTTTACATTGGAATGCTCAACTTCCCTTAAGTTGGGAGAATAATTCTGCTGGAAAAGTTCATCAGTGCTACCCTAATGAATGGTTTCCCAGGTTCTATTAGGAGCTCTGCTCTGCAGACTAAGGAAGTCAGACATCAAGTGGAATTGAGCAAGGTCAATGGCAGTTTGCTTCATCAACCCAAATTCCAGAGTCAAATTTATTTTGGCCTGCCCAGGGTGTTTCACAGGACTGGAGAGATTGCTGAGTCCCAAGGGTTGAGTTTAGCCAGTTTCTGAGGAGCTGCTTTTGTCTGCAGGTAAATAGAAGGGCAAATCTGAGGTTGCAGCTGATTGAGATATTTCCAGACGGGTGGATCCCTGAAATCTTTAGTAGTGTCCTCTTATTTCCTCTAGAAAGCAGAATGGAAAGACCACCGAGATTTTAGGCTTTTAACTACTACTTTAAAAAATTTTTAACATATCATTTAAACTGATAAAATTCTCTTTAGTGTTTCAATGACAACAAATAATGTATTTTTCAGACTTCTTTCCTATGTGGTACGCTTACGAAGTTGAGAGCAAAGCCTTGGTAAGTGAGAGAGGAGGCAGAAATCCTCTTTCTTCAGCCATCTAGATGGGCATGCTAGTCCTTCACCCCTCTACACTTCATGTACTACCAGCCACTTTTGTGCCACCAGGTAGCACTGCTCTCTCCGTATTCTGCTCAAACAATGGCAATGAGAACTCAGAACAGAGTGGCACTGACACCAGAACACAAGTGTTGTGAGATACCAGTTGGGAAACAATGGAGTAGACAGGTATTGAAAAGCACTATGGTGCCTTATTTAGCACAGGACACAAGGCCTGATGATAGTGGAGTGACACATTTGTATAAAAGATAGAGTATTTTTGTTCCTTCCCAGAGAAGCAATCTTGGGTTTGTAGCACAATATCAGTCCTTTCAGTGTAGTATATTTAAACTATGTAAAGTTCTTTCCTTTTTCTAGTTCAAAATGTAACCCCTTCTTTCATAAAAGAAATATTCTTTTGTGAAAATGAGTGCTCCCTCCTTTCCTTATCTCCCACCAGTTGGTAATCAGATTTGCACTGTTTCTGCAACAGAAAACACATACATGTCTTTACTTTAACACATAAGTTCCAATACAGTGTTTTCCCAAACTTTAACATGCATCAGAATCACCTAGAGGTTGTGCTAAAACAGATTGCTGGGCTCCCCCTCAGAGATTCGGATTCAATAGGTCTAGTAGTACAGAGTCTGGAAATGTGCAATTCTAACAAGTTCCCAACTGCAACTAATCCTGCTGGTCCAAGGACCATATTTTGAAAACCACTCATCTAATACTTTGTGAATCTGGGCTTCATTCATACCACAGAGAATGATTTTATTTGTCTACTTTTGTGTGACACAGAAAAAGATATGGAGAGCAGACTGCTGCCTCCATCTTTGCTCTGCCCCACAACCCCCAAGTGGACTTGTCCTGGTAAATGTAGCATTTGAATCCACACAGCCTGTTGCTAGAGTCCTCAGCTTCTCCCACCACAGCCTCCAATGGCAGCTACTTTTTCTGGTCTTTTTTTGAGTGAAGACTAGCTTACATGAGCTAGAATATAAATTATAAAAGGAAACAAAGCAAGGCTAGAGTTAATGCCTGAATAAGACCTAAACTAGGACCTCTGGTGCAACCTCCAGCCCTTAAGGACGTTCTCTGAGAAAAAGAGAGGCTCTGCGCGGGCCTCTTTCCAAAACAAAACATTCAAAGTCTTGGGCAGAAACATCCCATTACCTTGAGTGACTCATATTCCAATTCTGCACCTCTAATTTGTGGTCTTTCTTCTTCCTAGAGAAAATATAAAGTAAAAACCTTATATTTCAATTGTTACATTTTTACTATTAGAATATTTACTTGCTCTAGAGAAAAGAGTGAAGAGAGTTTAGCCCTCATGACTTTAACCAAATGCTACTTGGTTAGGCTGAAGAGACTGCAGAAATGGACATAAAACCCCCTCCTCAGCTCCATGGGTGGGCCAGCGCTGCGCACCTTCGCCTTGCTGCGGAGCACCTGCTCTTCCTTGCGGTCCAGCTCATCCTGCATCACCTGCTTCTCCTGCTCCAGTTCTGTGACCCGCTTCTGGAGCTTGAGGAACAATGACATGTCCAGAGGCACCTTCTTCTCGCTTGGCTCCTAGGCCCCAGAAATTTCAAGATGGTCAAGACAAGTCAGAAGGTGTACAATCCAAGAAAATGATGAATAATAGCTCAACAGAAAAATAGAAAAACTTATAGAAAAAGAACCATAGACATCCAAATAATATACAAAAACCATGTTCAGCTTAGTCAACAATCAGAGAAATGCAACTTAAACAAGCGAAGCACTATTCTTTTATCAGAATGGCAAAGGTTAATAACATAATGCCCTATGTTAGCAATAGAGTCTCACATGAGATTGGTGGAGGTATAAGTAGACCTTTTAAAAGGGCAATTTAGCTGTACTTACTACAATTTAAATGTCTATATCCTTTAGCCTGGCAAAGCTGTTTAGGAATTAATCCTACAGAAAAACTTACACAGGTATACAAAAATATATGAAAAAAGATGTTCACTGAATCATGTTTTTGTAGTTGTAAACTGGCAAGAACCTAAATGTCAGTCAATAGAATATTTGCTTAAATATAGTATAAACAAATCATGAAATATCTTTTAACTGTTAAAAAGAATGAAGTAAATTTACACCAACAGTATGCCCTAGATAAAGAATGAGGTGAACGCTCAAATTTCAGGACGGAATATATAATATTATTATGTTTACATTGTATTAGGTATTATAAACAATCCAGAGGTGATTTAAAGTATATGGGAGAATGTGCTGTAGGTGACATGCAAATACTACAACATTTTATATAAAAGCCTGAACATCCTTGAATTTTGATACCTGAGGTAGTCCTGGCACCAATCCCCCATGGATACCAAGGGGTGACTGGATAGCCCTTAATAAACTGAAGGATAGCCTAAGTAACATTTAAAAAAATGTGTTAATTGGTATCAAAAACAGATCACAGTGAGAACTACTGGGATAAATAAAGATATACTAATTAAAGTTTAAAAAATGTAAAGAACTAACCATCATTATGGAAGTTCTGAGAGTATCATAATTGTTTTATCGTGTTTACTTCAGGTTTTAACCTTTAATAAGATAAAAAGAGAAATAATTGTATCATTAGACTTAATGTAGAGAATAAAGAGTCTCTGTTAGAGAACTAAGTATCACATGTTCTCACTCATAAGTGGACCTTGAACAATTATCGTAATACTCTAAGAAAAGGATTTGCAATAGTGGAAAACTGTCGGGGAAGAGGGGAGGAGCGGGATTGGCAGTAGTGGAATCTGCCTGGGGAAGGGGGGGCACACCTCATCAACAAGGGTAACTACATTATGAGCATTTGTATACCTAACCCTAAATTGTACCCCACATCTTTAAAATTAAAAAAAAGAAAAAAAGTCTCTATTAGTTAACAATAACTTATTTATTTAACTAAACGATCAGAGTATAAATCTTGTATGATGAGCAAATCTTTCCAATTGTCCATTTCTTAAAAAGCATATTTAGTTTTGCTTTTTTGATATGAAAGAAAAAAAATTTATAGAAAATTTAGGAAATAAGAAAAGTACAATGCGGAAAAATGCAGGCATAATCCCATATCCAGAGAACATTACAAGTTTTCCTAGTCATTTTTCTATCTCTATAGATTTAAAGAATTAGAGGTCGGGTACAATGGCTCAAGCCTGTAATCTCAGCACTTTGGGAGGCCGAGGTGAGGGGATTGCCTGAGCCTACAAGTTCGAGAACAGCCTGGGCAACTTGGCGACACCTCATCTCTACAATAAATCAAAAAACTAGCCGGAAGTGGTAGGGCATGCCTGTAGGTTTAGCTATATGTTCTTTACCATAAAGTCTGTCCTGACCTAGTAGAACAGTGATAACATCTTGCCTCAATATGAAATTACTATAGAATTTCATTCATATAAAAATTCATTTATATATGTACCCCAGATAAAAGTATAAGATAGATACTTAAATTTTAGCTTATTTATAATTTAAATATTCCATCTTATATTTTTTAATGTTTTCTCATTTATTAATAATGTACATGCCCCTGAAATTTATTATTATTATTATTATTATTATTATTATTAGAGTTGGAGTCTCACTCTGTCACCCAGGCTGGAGTGCAGTGGCATACTTACAGTTACTGCAGTCTCGACCTGCTGGGCTCAGGCAATCTTTCTACCTTAGCCTTCCAAGTAGCTGGAACTACAGGTGCATGCCACTACGCCTGGCTAATTTTTAAAAAATTTATTGTAGAGACAAGGTCTCATCAAGTTGCCCGGGCTGGTCTCAAACCCCTGGGGTCAGGCAAACCTCTTGCCTCTGCCTCCCAAAATGCCTGGATTACAGGCATGAGCCATCACACCCAGCCAAATTTTTGATTATTTATTTTTTTTACACTACAATAGAACTTTTCATATTACAAGTAAATATAATACTTCATTCATTGCACCTAAAATGTCATCATTTGAAAATCATTCACTTGAGCCTTGAATAAGCATTTTTATTTAAAAGGAAGTCTCTTATTAAAATTAGATGGGGTAACAATACACAAAGGTATGCAGTAATAATACACAAAGAAGCAGTTGATTGCTAGATAAGAGCAAAATTCTATGGATAAGAATATTAAAATAGGTGAAGGAAGAACACAAAAAATAACATCTGACAAATGTAAAATGACTTGAGGCATAAAGATTGGCAATTATGTAAGAGTGCTATGGATGGTGCCCATTCTGAGCCCTAATGACACTTCTAATTAAAGAGATACCATTTGTCCTTGCTATACTACATGAGCAAGAAGGTTGGGCCACCTGGCTCAAAGAAATGTCTGGGGATTTTATTTTGCTTTCCTTCCTTTGTCACCCAGGACTTTTCTAAGAGTGAAGCTTTGAAATTGACCTAAAAAAAGTAATACCAGTCTCTCATCTGAGGACAATCAAGAAGATAACAGAATTTATTTATGAAATTAGCATCATAGGCCTAGCAGTCATTCTGGAATTATTCCTAACAGTTGCTGAGAAAGTTATGGTGACCCTTTCCCTGGATTTGTCAGGTATGAGGAAGCTTGAGAGCAGAGGGAGAACTGAGACAATTAGTCAAGGTTTCTAGAAGAGGTTCACGACAAAGCAGGGAGGAGCACTAGTTCCAAAACAATGTAAACCCAGCCCACAAAGATGCAGGAAGTGTGGGAGGGCTGCAGAACAAGTGGAGCTGGTGGGCGAATTCTACAGAGAGAAACAGCAATGAAGAGAATCATAATAGGCATCATGATTCGTGAAAAAGTCACAAGTTTTAACTTTTTTTTTTAAACATCAAATTTGCTGTTAAACATCAAATTTGACTAAAATTGGAATTTTGCTCCAAAAAAGTCTGAAAGACACCTCCCTATTCTAATTTTAAAAATTATTAAACAAGAGTGAGCCCATTATGTTCCTGGCACCAATTCTAAAAGTGCTACTTGGGAATCTTACACATAGAAGGTAAAAGTTTTCCTTATGTTTTCAAGGAGCAATTTGTAAACCTGACCATTACAGAGGTGGCTGCAGAAAGAAACTCAAACCTGGAAGTCATAAGTAATTGGAAGTAGAAATTCACAGCCAGTCATAGTCGTCATCTCTCCTGCCCAACTTCCCTTCTGATAACCAATCTCTCTTTTTCTATTACCAGTTATATAGATTTCCACCTCCATCTTTCTGATCCTGAACACATCCAGTCAGAATTACAGGGTAATCACTAAAAGTCAGTTTATTAGAGCAAAAACTATTGAATGAATTATTGAGTACTTACTATGTACCAGACACTGTTCCAGTTAACTCATTTAATCCTTAAAACATCACTGAAAGTTAAGATACACACAGCAGCCCCCCTTCACATGAGGAAACTGAGGCACAGAGAGATTGAGACTAAGGTTATAGGCTCAGTCCCAGGAAGGAGAGTTACTATAGTCTATACCATGGTAAAGATAGTACTCTGAACCAAAGACAGTTACATTTCAGATGCATGGCACTTAACTCAAAAAGAGCTGTTCATAAACATAACTTGCTTAGTGAAATGCCTTCCTTGTTACTGAGAGAAGACTTCTAGGCATATGACCTACTGCTGGTGGGTCAGTGCACATGTAAGACAGTACACAATACTCCAAGATCTGTCTGTGTCTCCCATATATATTATGAAGGACACATATTGTGGAGTACAGTTTATACTTAGAATTCAAAAGAGATGAGAATAGTACTAAATCCCATTAATATCTCTTTTAATTTGAGAAAATTTCAACAGAAAGTGATGAGAATAAGAAACAAAAAGTTTACCTCCCCAAATCTGTAAGAATCTGGAGAAAACTTGAAAAAAGTAGAAGCCCTGACAAAAACCATTACTAGTAAAAATTAGGTAAAGTACTGTACTTACACATAAGAGTGTTTGAATTTAAAAATGTGAGATCCTCAACCAAAACTATCAACAAGAGCCTCTCCTCACCCTGAATTTATTATTCATTTATTTTAAATTTTTTCTTTTAAAGAAGTGGGGCATAATTTAGGATTAGGTATACAAGTGGTTATCATATAGGTAAAGTTTGGGCCTCCCTTTGGTCCCCACTTTGCCTGGTTTGAGATCAGGTACCCTTATTGATGTTATGTGCCCCACCATCTCTCCCCTGGCAGCTTCTGGCTATTGCCAATTCCTTTCTGATAGTATTATGATAAAAGTTCAGGGTCCACTTATGAGTGAGAACATGTGGTACTCAGGTCTTTATTTCTGTGATAAATCACTGAGTATTATAGACTCTAAATTCATCCAAGTTGCTGCAAAGTCCATAATTTTGGTCTTCTATATGGCTGTGTAATAAATTGTGTATATGTACCACATTTTTTTACCCTGTCTAGTTTTGATGGGCAGCATGATTGGTTCCATGTTTCTGCAACTGCAAATAGTATGGCAATAAGCATGCATGTGTAGGTATCTTTTTTGTAGAGTGATTTAAGTTCCTCCAGGTATGTTCCAAGAAGGGGGATTACTGGGTTGTACAGAAGTTCAATTTCTAGTTCTTTTAGGAATTGCCACACTGTTTTCCACAGAGGTTG